AGAAATAATTTTTGTCATAATTTCTGGTGGATGATGTCTCTTGTTTCTCTGTTGGTTATTGTGATCTGGTTGGCTTTTTTATAATTTTGTAGGGCATTGTAAAACATCTCTTCGTACTCAGTTTGGTGTTGTGGGGTAAAGCGCTTGGCTCTAGTAAAGGTGAGGAAGAATGATCTGTCAAGGTGTTTAAATTTGGCAAGAATATCTGGGGGAATTTGTTTGAGAGTGGGTTTAGTTGCGATTTTGTATTTGATAAATTCCTGTAGACTGTGCTAGATTGGAAACTAGTAATCAGTTTATCATAGTGCTATGTGTTGTCATCAAAGGGCTGTGTGATTTCTTTTGTTAGTTCTTTGTGTATGTGTTCTAACCATTTCTGGGTTGGGTCCTCGTCTATCTGCATGGTGTTGTTTGTCAGGTTTTGTTTAGTTACTTGGCTGTATGAACGTATATTAGAACTTTCTTGCTCTGTGTCAGTTTCCATTTTGTTGTCAGTTTGTGTATTTTCTAATTCAGTAATAGGGGTAGCCATTTCAGTATCTACAAGGTATTTCTGTTTGGTGATGTCTGGATTGGGCTAGGAAGAGCCTGCTGCAGGTCCCGTGTTGTGTGTTGTTGTTGCAGTATTGTTGTTGTTGATCGGGGGTCTAAAAATAGTATCATTGTTGGGGTGAGGTGTATTGCCTAATATGGTAATATTGGGGTTGTTGTTGTGGGAAATAATTGTTGTGTTGTTGTTTTTTTCCGGGGACTCTGTTTGGATATTGTTAAAACCTGTTTGGACGAGTTGGTTGTTGTTGTTGTTGTATAAGTTCTATATTATATGTTTTCTTTTGGAGGCACTCATATATTTTGTATTTATTTATACAATATTAATGTTAATAAATATTTTTTATTTAGAATACCAATAACAATGACAATATAAAAAAAATCAAAACCCAATTATATACTTAAAGAATCAGATTTGAGTGAGAACGAGTATAATCAACCTCAAGTTATTATAAAACTTCAAAATAAATATAAATGTTCACAACATGTTACATCATGTTATACTGAAGATGAATGCCATCTCTAGTTAAATTCTGCTCGATTAATATTATAGGCTTATAATATTGTATATATATTGTTAGCTTCTCTTTAAATTTACAGTTTATTCTTAAATTTCAGACCAAATATAATTTGATCGATGCATATAAAGATGCATTGTATATACAAAAAATTTTAAAACAAATCATGAAAGTATCTCTATCTCAAAATTTTGATTATAAACCTATTTTTCACATTCTTACAAAAATTGTTTCTTGCAAAAATGGTACATATAACTGATTATGTACAGTATATTACACATATAATATACACTATACAACTATATATACTGTACATCTCTAGATGCATGTAATTAAAATCTAGTAAAATTTTGAAAAATTTAAAAAAGATTGATGAGTATAAATGACATGAACCATAATATTATTATCACAACCATTTTGAATATTTATTTATTTTAGGGATTGCCTATTTCCACCATGGCTTTTTGCTATTTCCACCATGGTATAATAAAAAAATCTATTTTTAGTTAACCAATTAAATTTAAAAAAATAATTTTTTTTTTTTTTTTTTTTTTTTTAAAAAAATATATAGGAATAACTCTTTCCCATAGATCTTAATTTTAATAGCAAAAAAAAATTGATAAAACAAAAATTCTAAAAACAACTAA